GTACTGCGATGACATTACAATTTAAATTCAACGTTTTAGCTTTTTCATATTCCTTTACATGTCACTACGTTTATATAGGTTGACTTGGGACATTTTTTTCGTGGTTTTTGTATTAGACCCGTCGTCCATTTATTTGTAAGTCAATGTTTTATTTATTCACTTTTGCAATAATACATTACGAATATGAGTAATATTACAATAAGCTTACTTTACATTGAAATAAGATTGTTTTTGGAAAGGTTATGGTAAGCCCCCAGGAATGTACTGCCACCATATTTTCTGACGTCTTGTTTAAAGGGACGTGAGGCTTGATAACTTTATGCATCAGTATGACGGGCGTTTCAGATAATTGCGATTTAATGCACACAGCTTCGTCCTATCACTTGATTTCATTCTTCTCTCTTTATGTGTGTTAATACTTTTATAAAAGCTTGTTTGTTAACCGACTTCAAAAAGGAGGAGTTATGTATGTAACGCTATAACTCCGGTATTTGTAAACCGATTTTCATGATTTTTTTGTTGTTGTACTTCCATAGTGGTCCCATTTTATTTTAAAGAAAATCATTCACCTCTAAGGGTGGCTGATCACGCATGAACATTCATTTTTATACATAGCGCCTAAATTTTACTTAATGAGCAATTATTATAATGGTTGATTTTGCTGTTCTCCAATTCAAGGCGTTTTTCTCTCAATATACTTTGAGTAGTGAGAACCGACTTTTTATTATCTCCTGTGTCAAGTCCCGTATAGTGGCGAATTAGGGGATATTTCAATAAAACTTGGCAAATAGATGTAATTCCACGTACTCTTGAGGTCGGTTTTTTTAGTACTCTGTACTGAGATTATGTCTTATTTAATTTGTTCTTTTAGGCGATATAATCCAAGATCACACAGTAGAGCTTGCTAGTATGAGCGAAAAAGATTACAATCACGACGTGAGATCGGAATGCCTCGGTTCAATCAATGCTGTCCAGGATCTGATACACCAGTATTCGGAGATGAACGATGAGGAAAAGGTACTTTCATAATCACCTGCAAAATCAGTCACTGCCATTTGGTAGAATTTAAAAAAACTTAATGAAGTTATTTAATTCAAAATTGTTGTAGAAATTCAATGATGTCGTTTACATTAACGAATACAGGTGAACAACATTTCAAAATTAAATATAAAATGGCTTTGATAAAAAAGTCAAATTGCTGCGGCGTATTTGAATCACGCTTGCTGGAAAGATTTCAATTAAAAAAAAAATTCTAAACTAAAATAAATATTTATATTAGTTGATATTTAAAAGTGATATCAGGTCCATTGGCCTGATGACTTGCCAGGAATGGATGACCCTTATTTCTATTTCTCTAAGTATTTCTAAGTCTCTATTTCTGGTTATATACTCGATGGATTGAGGACATAAATTGTACCTGTCTGTCGTGGTTCACGCCACTAACGTTAGATACCGCCGTAATGGACCGGCTATAGGGCACTGTTTATTTTATAATTTCTCTTTCTCTGTTAATCGATTTTATTACCATTTCAGACTCGGATTGCGGGAGTCAAGGGATATCTCGAAGACCAATTGGCTTTCTTGATTAAACAACTGATAAGCCTTGACGAAGTGTCTACCGTAATTTTGTTTTTATTGTTTCGTATTCCTGGTATAATATAAATCAATAAAAAAAGATTTATAAAGCCATAAAAAATTTTAAAAAATGTGACTGTCGCAAAAAAATGGGGCTAAATAATAAAATATCGCGAAAAAACTTATCTATATATACAAATGAGACCAAAGAAAGTCATATTAGCCAATGTTATTTTTGAATATTTTTGAAAATTCTAGTCGGCGACGAACGTGTTAAACGTATTTTGGCAAGAAGGAAATTGTTTAGATGTCTGTACTAAACTGTAACTTATACATAAATTTTAATAATCATACACGGGAAGCGAGTAATTCGTTTTTCATCGACTCTGAAAAAAATACACTATTTGAGTTAATACACTATGGTGTTACCTGCGCGATAAGATCATGCGTTAAAAGAGCTTTTATCACATCAAAGTCATAAAAATAATGCAATCTACATGATATAAATTATTTATATGTATAGTTTCAAACTCGACAATTTAAGCATTGTAAAGCTATTGCTTTTGTTTTAAGATTGTTTTTATTTATTTGATGTACAAAACAGTTTACATTCACTCCTTAGCAAAAGCTTAAACGTTATTACTAGTTCTACTCTAGAACGTAAACCTAAACATGGACATACAGCATGACCAATCATGAGTAAACAATTTTGTTCCAATATATTAATAAAACGTACTTAGGTATAATATATAGGGCGCACTATAAGTTTCCGGAACTGGCCACTTACATAAACAATATTTAAAAAGTAATTTTTGAAAATGACACTCTTTGGCTGTCGAATACAGTTTGTTTCATCTGACTGGCGTCATTTTAGAAATTGGTTGTCTACATCACCATGAATTTAACTCGTGAAAATTTTTGTAGTATGATTTTCTACCAGTTTAAGTGTAACTTAACAGCTCAAACTGCTTTTGGCGATAAAGCACCATGCAAAACGACTATTTATAGCTGGTTTGCAGAATTCAAACGCGGTCGTGTGAATCTCAGTGACGAATTTCGTGATGGTCGCCCATCCACTGCTGTGAACAACAAAAACATCGATACTGTGTGCCGTATGATCAAAACAAACAGGCATATGACATATTATGAGATTTGGGCACCTTTAGGCATAGGCATGAGTTAAATACAATCAATACTACACAAACATTTTGGTGTGAAAAAGCTGTGCTCTCGGTGGACCCGACACAATTTGACTGAGGCTCAAGAATTCGGATCACGTCACGTGGTGCAATGCCATGCTTACCAGATTCAACGAAGGGGCGTCAAATTTGGTGTGGGTTATAGTAACAGGTGACGAAATATGGATTTATAGTTACTATATCAAAGATGAGCCGAAACCAACCAAAGTGGCGCGCGTGTAAAGTGCTTCTAATCGGATGATTGCATCTTTTTTTTAATAAAACTGGACACGTGGTTACTGTTGCTTTGGAGAATCGTTGTACCGTGAATAGTGATTGGTACACGACTATTTGTTTGCCGAAAGTTATTGACGAACTCCGTAAAAATAACCGTAAACGCCGTATCATCTTGCACCACAATGATACCAGTTCTCACACGACCAGACAGACAAATGAATTTTTGAAGGTGAACAACGTTGACTTTATGAACCATCCCGCGTATTATAGTCCCGACCTGGCACTTTGTGACTTTTATTTATTTCCAAAAATTAAGAACCAGTTACGAGAGGCCAACGATTTTCAATACCTGAAGAGGCTGTCGAAGAGTATGAAATATATGTTTCAGAAATTGTCACGGAGGAGTGGCATAAATGTTTTCAAAATTGATTCAATCGTATGAAAAAGTGCATTAACGCTAACGGAGAACACTTTGAGAAACAATAAATTAATTTCCGACCATTTAGAGTAATTTTTTCTTATTCATTCCGGAAACTTATAGTGCGCCCCAAGTAAAACTGTAACCTTAAATAAAATTGAATGGTGAAATGGGAAATGGAAACTGTGGTGCTCATGGAGTGAATTGCGACGTCTTTTAAAATTACTATTAAATATATCCATCTCTAAATCATCGCCAAGATCAGCCATAAGGCCGTTGTAGGCCCGACACATTCTCGTCAAAGGGTTGTAAAAAGATGTATTATTAGTAAAACATTCAATACGAATGGTCTAGGAAAGCGTTGTGGAGTGCACTTAACGTTAAAATTAATATAGGACAGAAGCGTTGAGGATTTAAGGCTGCCGTGAAATAATTTATGTAAATGTAGAAGATCCTGTATCCTACGTCTAGAATTCGAGGACATAACCTTAAAATGTGATTTGAACCTCTAACTTGAAAAGTTTTACATATGTGGCATCATTATATAAATATTGTAGCCATTGCCATAACTGCCTCCATGGCCCAACGGTTAGCATATTGTAGCCATTGCCGGACTGCCATTCAAAGGTCCTGGGTTCGATTCCCAGGCCTGGAGAAATATGTGTATGGTCTACATTTATTTCTTTCGTGAGTTTTGGTGTAATTTGTGGTTGTATATGTGTGTGTCCATAGCACCCGCGATACAGGGTTTCCCTAGTGCGGGGCTATGTTGAGTGTTTGCGTTATTATTATTGTTATTATTATTTCTTTCAAGTTCAAAAACTTTTTCCTTTAAATTACAATCATTAACTTAGTCTGTCTAATAAGAAATATGGGCAAAATAGAACTATTAAAAATCCATAACTCATGGTAGTAATAGTTTGACTTACAGCCTCTGAAGCAGAGGCCATGGATTAGAATCCGGACTTACAGTACCGAGTCTCTCGGAATTTATGTGCGAAATTATTATTAAATTTTATTTTACCATGAGGTTTTCAGTGAAGGAATATATCGTGATACCTGCACGTCGGAAGAACGTTCACAACCTTCAGGAAACCCTAGACATCATTACTATTATTTTCCTTAAGACCTATGTCTAGCTGCAGTGTTTTTACACCAGATTCGTTTTAATAAAATTTAAATCGTTTTCAGGAGACATCTTTTGACGAGAACTCTGCCTCAGGTTTAGAATTGAACTATAACATAAAAAATTTGAAACCCCACGAAAAGTACAAAACTAACAATCAACTTACAAAAATAAGAAAAAAACGCTACAAGCCCAAAATAATTCACAAGTTCATCAAAAATACAACGATGAAGAAACACACAACTCAAACTAACTTTGATTCATTGCAAATGACCGAACCATCTGCAAGAGACAAAATTAAAATCAACAATCTACTCCAAAATGTTGATGATAAAATGCAAAAAGATAATAAATTTGAAGAACTCTCTGACGAATTAGTTGAAAAAGTTGATGATTTTCAAGCTCCCGTTGGTGATAAAACCGAAACTGGTTCTGATAGAATGAAAAGAAATATAAAAGATGTATATTACAAAGCGGTTCATGATGCTACAAAATATACAGAGAAGACTATGCATCCACATTATGCTGGAACAAAGACTTGATTCAAAGATTCTTTCTTTAGTATATTAACCGTAGAATTAGCTTTTAAAAATAATGCATTAGAGTTATTCAAAGTTATTTGCAGAAGTATAGAAGAGAATTATCAGTAGCTGTAAAAAAGTGCAATGCAATATAGTCACTATTATTATTATATCTAAGGGGGTTTAACTGAGCTTATTATTTGTTGAGTAGCTATGATTGTGATATTGAGTAGCTGTCCTAGTGATGAGTATTTGTGATAGAGACGTCGGATGTAATCACAGTCGCGGTGATAATATTGTATGTATGGTAGGTATGGTAATTATACCACCTATAACAACTCGTTATATTAGTAACGAGATGTTATCCGCAACTCGACGTCCTGGTGCCTGGATTTGATTTTGCGTATGGTGGGTGTAGGGTCATACTTGTGCCATTCAAACTTGTCCAGGAATCTCAGCACCTTCCTGGGTTTGTTGAAGAATAGTTGGCCACGCCGGAGCATTGCAATAAGATGTGAGCGGCCGTTTCCTGCCTCTATGAACGCTCCACATAGTGTTGTAAAAAACTGTGTCCAAGAGTCTACATTTATTAACTCGACCCAATTTTGCACGGCTCGGTGGTCTAAAACATTCACGAGTACAATTAGCGTCGAATGCGAGTCATCGGAGCACAAACTCGAGTCTAAAAAGAACTAGAGTCGTAAAACTCGACTCGAAGCTACTTCTACACTACAAAGTCTTCATGGTTCAATTTTACTGAACCCAATTACCCAATATGGTGGTTTACAAAAGAAAGAAACAGTAATTATTAGCTCACTACAGTTTAACACATCACTCAGTGGGTGCTCAACAGACTCAAACGCGACTTGTTACATACACTTATATGGAACTCGAGTCTATTTGGAAACTCGATAGGCTCGTAATACATCGAGCAGTGGGTCTCTGTCCTTGAATCGAGTCTTGTGAATTGGAATTGAGTCTTAAAATGTAGACTCCCGGTCTCGAGTTCTTTACAACACTAGCATAGAGGGCTGTCTGTGATACCTAGATTGAAAAGATTTTTTGAAATTGAAAAGATTTTTGCATTTTATTATATGGACGGATCATATTGTAATTGGTCTATGATCAGAAGAAGCATCTAAGCTCATATGACATCGCTTTTCCGCATTCTCCCAATGTGAATTCACCTTTAAGATTTTTAATGATAATTTTGACTAGTTTATCCACTATATATCGTAGATAGATAGTTTTTTAATTAACATTGTTTATAAAAGTTATTATTTTTAGGACGTATTATTATAATTATTGTAATGTGCATTAAAAAATTGTAATAAACATGTTTAATTATTTTTTTAGGTTAATTTAGGTTTTAAAGTATAAATATAATGGTTTAATCTATCGCCTCTCCAGAAAAACCCGTGGGTTCGAAACCAGCCTGTACCTCTGAGTTTCTCGGGTTTTATGTATAACGATCTGAAATTTAATTAGAAATTTCGGTCAAGAAAACATCGTCGAAGGTTCTCAAACCTCGGAAAATTATGTAATCCCTAAAGTGAAGCTATTTATGCAATCCTTTTTTAAAACTTCTTAATGGAAGAGGCTTAAAGCTATCTGGCATGTGATCAAAGTCAAAGTCAAAGACAAAGATTATTTATTCCATAGGTAAAATAAATTTACACTTGAAAACGTCACATTTAAGCTAGTGCTCATTCACTACGCTGACTTCCCTGAGAAGAACGAGTAAGAAACTCCTTTTTAAATAAACTTAAATGCTACGGAATACACTTTGAATCAAATTTGTGTGGATTCTGGAGCCATGTAGTCTTCATCTAATAATAATAATAATAATAAAGAACTTTATTTATCTACATTTACAAAACAATTTAGTCGTAAATAACATCACTTATAGATACTGTGTAGATAAAAAGGATAGAGTCTCAGCTTAAGCTGTTTTTCAGACCCTACCTTTTTGAAACTCGCTACATTTTAATCATAGTATTTGTCTGACGCGTCTCGAGTAGCTCCAAAAGATATCACAAAATAATAAATATATATATATATATATATATATATATACTCAAAGTTATAATAAATCTATTGTCCTTATAGTACCTGAGATAGATAAAATATTCCACCTAAAAATACTCAAATTTGGGGTTTAGGTAGAGATGAACAGCACCCACACGTGAAAATATAATTACAAACAACATCCAATTACTTTCTGATCTTTGCCTCGAAAGTAACCAAAGCTTGCACTTTCTTTTAAAAGTACAAGATGACTTTACTACTGACATAACTTCAATTTTGTAATGTGACTTTTCAATCAAAATATTTTTAATGTAATTTTTAAACTTAGGAAATGATAACCTTAATATATGCTCCAGAATCTTATTGTAAAAACGTATACAGTTCCCCATAAAAGAGTCGTTTCCCTTGGTTAAACGACATCGTGGTACCTTGAGTTTGGACTTAGCTCTAAGGTTAATATTATGGATATCTTCTATCTTATTCAAATTATGTATATTTTTACGGGCATATAAAATATTTAAATATGTATACCGTGATGCCACAGTCATGATGCCAGTCTCCTTAAAGTTTTCTCTGAGAGCAACCCGAGAACCTAGACGGTACACAGAACGAGTAGCTCGTTTCTGCAATACAAATGTGGTTTCAAAGTCTACCGCTTTGCCCCACTTAAGAAAAAAGTCACTCACGGGTCCAGGGCGGGCGAACCAGTTGAAAAGGGTACCAGGCACACAGGGTCTTTCAACTAACTCTCCAATAACACATAGAAAGTACATGTCGCAACGAGTATCGTGGGGAAGCAGCCAATGAACGTTGGGATCAACCATTGGGAAGTAACGGACCTGGGCAAAAAATATCTTCTTGTTCGTTGCACCGAGTCGATGATTGGGGCCCAGCTTTGATGGTCCCCGCTAGCAGGAGGAGTAGAGCTAATTTTCCTTAAAAAAAAACATGAATTTGCAGTATCCAGATATCTTACACGAAATGTTAAAATTGAATCCAAATGAGAACGTAATTACGCAACAACTTTCACATCTGGTCTCAGGTCTCATCAGGTCTGATCCCAAAGCAAGTAACCAAAGACCTCGTGTTATGGTAATCGGAAACGACGGTACCACAAATATCCAGATCCGAGACAATATAGAAAAGTTATTTTTTCTGCATTGACCCGGACGGGGATCCAACCCGGGACCTCAGAAACACACCGTGAAAACTGGTGTGCCCGCTACAATACTTAGATTTTTTTTGCATTACACGGTAATAAATTTTGGGTCTTTTATCAGGCGCCATTTTGTTCCGTTACTTTGTAAGCAACGCATTTTGCTCAATACCGTGAAACAAATTATTAAGTATATTTCATTCGTAACACTCTCTATTATAAATTAAATAAAAATTTAGATGTTTACATAGGTGCTTACATAGCGCGTCTATTTCAAAAAGACAAATTTCTTGCACTATAAAAAACTTAAAGAAACAGAGCTTCGAACAATTAAACGGAATCTATTTGTTTAATAATTACATAATTATTGTCGTGTCATTTTTAAATGTCATTCGTCATCAATTCGGACAATTTTCTTTATAATTTGTTGACTAAAGAAAAATATCACTACTTCTTCTTTATGATTTTTGTAATCCTAAAACAAAGAAGTTTAGATAAAGGACGTCTTGATGGTCTCTGCCAGACTGAATCGATGACTGGGACCAGGCTTTGTTGGTCCCCGCTAGTAGGACCAGAACTAGTTTTCCTTTAAACAAAAAAACATGAATTTGCAGTATCCAGATACCTTACACGAATTTCTGAAAATTTATTTTAAAATTGAATCCACACGAAAAGGTTACACAACAACTTACACATGTCATGTTTCTCTGATCCCAAAGTAAGTAACTTAAAAGCACTTGTGTTATGGTAATCGGAAACAACGACAGTACCACAAACACCCGAGACACCCGAGACAAGGGTCTTTTATCTCCGTTAGTTCCGTTATTTTGTAAGCAAAGCATTTTGCTTGAGCAAACGATATTTATACCGTGAAACAAAATTCTCAGACACGTATATTTTAATCATAACGCTCTCTGTTATAAATTAAATAAAAACTTTGCATAGGTGCTTTATCTATTTCAAAGGCTTGCACTATAAAAAACTGAAGGAAATTGAGATTCGAAACATTAAACGGCATCTTTTTATTTAATAATCAGTTAGTTATTATCCGCTCACGCGATTCATGCGTCTCTGGAAGCATACCACACCTAGAGGTGCCGGTGATGATTTTATACCGATTTATCGGATATCGAAGTTATAACAGGTAAAAGAACTAATATTAATTGCTATTTCGGTAACTACTCTAGCAAACCATAAAGTTTTTAATGCCTGGGTCTGTCATTTAAAAAAAATAAACAACTTCAAAAATACGTCACGACAATCGTGTGTGTTATTGTTTGGGCTGGTGATGTCGGTGTTTATTTATTGAAAACATACCGTAAGTTGCGTTTTTTAAGTTTACCCTGAATATAAATGTTTATAAACTATACTTTAAGGAGTAATTTCATGGTAAACATTAGAACCACTCAAACGGAATATTATCATATTTACCCAAGTACACCAAAAATTTCATTAGTGCTTTTTAAGTGCAGAATTTGCGGTGTATTACTGCATTTTATTTGAGATGTTTTTGTTGTAGTACAGAGGGTATTTATTTAGCAATGCAGAATAATAATTTTTATTTATAAAAACTTGTATTTAAACTGAATCCTTTTCTAATTTGCGAAACCAAATAGCCGCTATGTTGCGGTAGGAGGAGCGCATCGCGTGAGCGGATAAAGTGTAATTTTTGAATGTCATTCCTCATCAATTCGGACAATTTTCCCTATAATTTTTTGACTAAAGAAAAATGTCACTGCTTCTTTTTTATGATTTTTCTAATCCTAAAACAACGAAGTTTATACAAAGGAGATCGTTGTAATATCATCATCAACACTTATACATAACACTGCTGGACACGAGTCTCCTCTCAGGCGAGGGTTTAATTAGGCTTAGGCGAGAGCCGCACTGCCCCAATGCGGGTTCGGGACTTCACACGTTTTCCGAGGGTTGTGAACCTACTTCAACGTGTAAGTTTCATCACGATGTTTTCCGTCACTGAAAAGCTCATGGTAAATTTCAAAATCAATTTTGCATATAAATTCTCATAAAACTCAGAGGTAGGCAGCGAGCCCGGATCCGATCCCACGACCTCTGCTTGAAAGGTGGTAAGTCAAGCCATTGGGCGGACCTTGCATCTTAATAATACTGTCGTATTGTTTAACTCATAATTTAGATTTATTTGTTATTTAATTACAAATATTTGCAAAAGAATTACGAAAGGAAATGAATGTACTAAATATTCGTATTTTGTTTTACCTTTGGAAAATTTAAAAATATCATTAGCTGTCATGGCGGTAAAGCACCATGATAGTAAAAAAAAATATCTATAAGATGGTATGTTTGATATATTTATTTAAGAAAATTCCAAAACGGTATACTGAGGGAAATAATAAGCAAGTAATATTTTTCTTAATGTTGCAACAACGCAGTGTATTTATTTATTGTTTGTTTAGTAGTTTTGTTTAAACAATTTATAAAATTTGGTGAGTATGTCTCAGGTTGTCATCAATTTGATCCCAGGGCAAACGGGGCAGTTACGTTCTCCGACTGCAGTCCACTTTGTCAGGCCAATCACAAACCTGTAAACATAACACAAGTTAGTAAATTTTACAATGGCAGTTGTGTCAACCACTCCAATCAGGTGCCACGCTAATCAGGTACCACCGACAGGCTACCTGGCTGTTAGTCTATTAATATAAAGATAATATTTTGTTGATTAGCGAAACCAAAAGTAAACTCCAACGCTCTTATTACCTTGTCTCAAGGCTAGAAATCGAACAGGTCTGAAGTTGGATAATGGATAGCCTCAGTGGACCAACCGGTCCATTCAGCGCACTATATGAGTAGATTAAGGTTTCGATTTTTGATAGAGTAAATTGAAAAAACGATTTTTTTAAGTTTATTCTGCCGTAGATCTTCTGTATAGAGCCACCAAAGTTATTTGCATGACTCTGGTAAGTACCAAAATAATTCCCCTAATTTATCGAGAAATTCGAAATTTGAATGTACCATAGATAACCTCCTAATAGATGCTGCATACAGGGCAACTGATGCGCACCACACATCCGTGCAATTGATCATATACAAAATTTTGCAAAAATTCATCACTTAGTTTCGACCAAGTATTAGACCCGTGCGCATTTGCCTGATATTCCTGTATTGTTACGCTGGTTTTGGTGAAACGAACTATAAAAATGACTACCTTTTGCCGTGAAATGGTGTGGAAAGACACCCACAAGCTCAAACTTTCAAAAAGATGGAATCACGTTTCATCGTCAAATTATAACTACGTTATTTACAAGTTTATTATTAATTAAAATGGCTAAAACTAAAAAACTACGAAGGAAACTGATCTCTCGTTGATATCTTTCGGACAGGTTTCTTTCTTTTATTATAATCTTACAATTAAGCGTCTCTTTTTGTCGAAGACACGTGGAACCTATGGTTGGGAGGATTTGAGATCGTCATCTTAATCAGTATAACAAATATTATTAATATTTATTAATACTTTTTTAACTACGTTTATAGATAATACTTATTGTTTATTATTCCTCAGTTACATTATTACATTACATTATTGACAAAACTTGCCACCGAAATTAGAGTAACCTGAAAATTACTCAATATGTAAAAAAAATACTCACTGGTCCAGGGTAGGCATCAGGGTTGAAATAAGTACCAGGCGCACAATCCCTTTCTACCTTCTCTCCGAATACGCAATAATAGAACTTATTGCAGTAAGTTTCATGCGGTAACAATTTATGTACACTGAAATCAGTCGGGCATCCAGTAGGTATCATTTTCCCTGGGGATTTGGGTTCGGCTAATAGAGGAGGCCTTATTAGGTTACCGCAAACCACAAGTTCTTGCCAATCGCAAACCTTTAAATACAAAACAAGTCATTATAATTTAATAATGATAATAGTGACAGACAGCCACTCAAATCAGGTGTCACTCTAATCAGATCTCACCGACTGATATCTTATTCTTAGTCTATCGGTATGGATTATATATTTAATAAGAGAAATCAGTAGTAAACTTCAACAGACTTACTCAGTTTTGAGCACTGCGATGAGAAGTCTCGTATTGTAATCTGGTAAGACAAGTTAAAGAAACGAACTTTTCTAAATTGATTCTGCCCTATTATGTTCTGAGTAGGACCATCAAAAACATTTTCGAAATTCTGACCGGAAATTCGTTTGAGACCGGATAATTAATAATCCTCAACCCATTTATACTTCCCACTGCGGGGCACGGCTCTCCTCACAGGCGCGAGTTTTAGGCCATAGTTCGCTACACCGGGGATTTCCCACGTTATCCGAGAGTTGTGAATCAAAGTCAAAGTCAAAGTCAAAGATTATTTATTCCACAGGTAAAATAAATTTACACTTGAAAACGTCATATTTAAGCTACTGCTCGTTCACTACGCTGACCTCCCTGAGAAGAACGAGCAAGAAACTCTAGGGATTGCTCTTTTCAAATAAACTTAAATGCTATGGAATACACTTGAATCAAATTTGTGTGGATTCTGGAGCCATGTCGTCTTTCCATACATCTTTATCTAACACGTAGTCTTCAATTTTGTAATATGAATTTTCGATCAAAATATTTTTAATGTAATTTTTAAACTTAGGAAATGTTAACCTTAATATATGCTCCAGAATCTTATTGTAAAAACGTATACAGTTCCCCATCAAAGAGTCGTTTCCCTTGGTTAAACGACATCGTGGTACCTTGAGTTTGGACGTAGCTCTAAGGTTAACATCATGGATATCTTCTTTCTTATTGAAATTATGTAGGTATATTTTTACGGGCATATAAAATATTTAAATATGTATACCGTGATGCCACAGTCATGATACCAGTCTCCTTAAAGTTTTCTCTGAGAGCAACCCGAGAACCTGAACGGTACACAGAACGAGTAGCTCGTTTCTGCAATACAAAATGTAGATTGAAAGTCTACCGCTTTACCCCACTTTAATGTTTTTTATAAGGTTACTTTCTTTCTAGAAATGCGAATTAAGTAAGCAAAAAATCACTCACGGGGCCAGGGCGGGTGAAGTAGTTGAATAATGAACCAGGCGCACAGCTTCTTTCATCCAATTGTCCGGAATCACAACGGAAGAACTTGTTGCAATAAGTATGGTGGCGGAGCAGCCAATGAACGTTGGGATCAACTGGGCAGCCATTGGGAAAGAAGGGGCCATTGTAGAAATCTTCTTGATGGCTTCTGCTAGACTGAATCGGTGATTGGGACCGGGCTTTGATGGTCCCCACTAGTAGGAGGACCAGAACTAGTTTTCCTTAAAAAAAAACGAATTTGCAGTATCCGGATATCTTACACGAATTTCTGAAAAGTTATTTTAAAATTGTACCCAAACGAAATCATAATTACACAAGAACTTTCAAATACTTTGCTCTGATTCCAAAGTAAGTAACTTAAAAGCACTTGTGTTATGGTAATCGGAAACAACGACGGTACCACAAATACGCAGATCCGAGACAATATAGAAAAGTTATTTTTTCTGCATTGACCCGGCCGGGGATCCAACCCGCGACCTCAGAGATGGCGACACCATGAAAACTGGTGTGCACGCCACTATATTTAGATTTATTTAGCATTACACGGAAATAAATTTTGGGTCTTTTATCAGGCACCATTTTGTTCCGTTATTTTGTAAGCAACGCATTTTGCTCAATAACGTGAAACAAATTATTAAGTATATTTCATTCGTAACACTCTCTATTATAAATTAAATAAAAATTTAGATTTTTACATAGGTGCTTATATAGCGCGTCTATTTCAAAGACAAATTTCTTGTGATTTTTTTATGTGATACCAAGAGACGGGACGGACAAGTCGTGCGCCTGTTAGTAAGCGACACGCCAGTCAATAACAGTTGTAGACTCAGACTTTAAATCGCAAAAATCTAAGTGGCACTGCCAGTGCGCACGTCGCCCTGAGACATACCACGTGGCAATTCCCAAGTTCATTTCCCAAATTGGTCCCACCGGGAATCGAACCTGGAACCTCCGCATCCAGCGCCTACAGTGTAAACCATTAAATAACCGAGGTCATCAATAAAGTAACACACTTTATATTAAAACAATATATAAAATACCACATATCACATAAATAGTAAAATACTTACCAATCATGATGGCCTAAAATAATAAACAATCTCGAGTAGAACTCAACTGTCGGGAGACACTCAAAACAATATCTTTTTACTAAACAACTAACACGTTATATAGAATTTCAGGAAGTAATTCTTTAATTATCGTTTGATAATATCTTTTTACAAAATCAGATAACAGAAAAAATTAATTATTTGGGGTCTTTTTAATCCGCGAGAATTAATTAGGATTATTTAGATGACTGTAGAAAGTGAAAAGATAGCGATACCTATGTTAATTGATAAGGCATGCACTTCTTGCGAAAGTGTTCACCCAGGGAAGTACTGCCACCATACCTATTTCTGCCGCCAAGTTGTAATGTGAGCTGCGTTCCGGTTTTGAAGGGTAAGGTTGCTGGTGAAATTACAGGCACATAGGACTTGTCAACTTATGTCTTAGAGTGACAAGCGCAAAGGTAGTGCACCTTAGAGCTTTGCGATTTAAGGCTCCGAGTGACACTGTATCTGTTATGGAAAGGCGTGTCACTTACCACCAGGGGCACGAATTGTTCGTCCCGTTACTTAGTATTGTAAAAAATAAAGCCGACCGAGGCTCCGCAGTGGTTACCTGAATCCTTTTCTCGAAGAAAGTCAGTGCACTTTTCAATCTAGACATTTCTGTTACCATGCAGGATAAACTTGCTCTCTACTTCTAGGCAACTTTCAACGCGTTATAACTCGTGCTTTGTGGTAGTCAAATCACAGTTGGGTAATCTGCTGACTGTCTGTCAATGTCCGCAACCACGCTCCTGATTCAGGCTTAGTTGCGGCCCTTAGACGCGCCCCGTTAACATCCAATGCCTTGCCCTAATAACAATGAACTGACCCTTCCACACAAAATGTCGTCCCATCCTCTCTGAACGACGACATTATCTGGCCGCTCATTACCCGGACAAATAGGGCCTCAGCTACAAAAGGTATCCGTCCCAAAATCTAGTCCCAAAGACCCATGAGCCGAAGCCAAGAACGCTACCACATCGATCTGTTGACACCGACGCACTCCCAGTCCACCGTGACGAATTGGAAGAGCAGCCTGACACCACTGCAATTCATTTAGGCGTACATTTAAAATGGACTCAAGTGATGACTGCAGTGTGTCGTCCAGGCTTGCCACGTCGCCCTCGAACAACCAACTGGGAGATGATGTTCTCAAAATATCCATCATGCGTGACATTGCAATAGTTTCGCAACAAGACAAGCGAGACGTGCGCTGATAATTTGCCTAAATGTTCCTGTGCCCTAACCAACGCCAACCTTTAATTCTCAAGAGCCGCACCAACCCCTTCTGGGAAGACGGGAGCACCAAGTTAAGATAAGGACGACTTATGAAGTCATCGTATACCCGGTGTCAAAAATTCAAAGTCCGACAAAAATCCTACGTCTCCAGCACCACAACCAAAAAGCTCACTTTTGCTCGGATTTATCTGAAAGTCTACATCTCTACACGCTTTTTAAACCATTCAGCACAACTTGCGGAGCCCCACCAATTGTTTCATCATCATAATGGTGAATGTCATAATTTATTAGATTAGATAAATGGATAATTGTAAAGAAATGCATGCATCGATCAATCAGTCTTTATATATCATAGAATCGTCAACTGAGTAGAACAATTGATCTAAATCTAGCCATTTATCACCAATCAATCAAACAAATCAATCATTTTTTTAAACTGATTAATGGAAGAGGTTTAAAGCTATCTGGCATGTGATCAAAGTCAAAGTCAAAGTCAAAGATTATTTATTTCATAGGTAAAATAAATTTACACTTGAAAACGTCACATTTAAGCTACTGCTCGTTCACTACG